GTATAAATCATTATTTGAGACAGGCAAATGAAATAAGAGAGATCAACGTGGATAATACATGATATTTAGGGGACCCAGATAATTGACTAATAAATAAGAATTATTATTTTAAGCTAATCTTTAAATTACTTTAATTAATACCTAAGAATGTAATATGTATGATTGTAAAGGCCGAGGCCACATCAATGCAATTTAATAAATAACTTCCTACCTACCTACTTTGGTATTTAATATTTAACTTCCCTCGATCATCAAACCCGAATACATTTACGGCAAACATCTTCTCAGCGTTTCGACTTTCAAATGTTTTGATATTCTGCTGTGTCGTAGGAAATTCAATGCATTTCCAATCATAATTATTTACAAATTTTTCGTACTGTCTGATCCTTGCTCTATGAAGTGACTTTATATCGTTAATATGCATGCCAATCAGAAAAGCCCATTGAAAACATTTGTTTCCCTGCATTTGCGGATTGATAATTGCTTTCTTTCCAGCCAGCTCTTCAGGGACCGATACAAAGCAACCACCTCGCAAAATCTCGAACTCGGCAACCCGAATATCGCTTCCTAGAATTTCGCATAAGTTCCATCCCGAACCATATTTCTCGAATATTTCAATTTGGTGTTGAAAATTCGTATCAATCTCGTTTAAAGCGTCAGTCAGATAAAATTTGTTCAATACAACTTTCATATTCGAATTTATAAATTGTGTACAATATTCCTCTTCTTCTTTGTCGCAAAACGGCGTTTCTCTAATAAATTTACATTTCAGGGTTATTTGAATTTTTACAGATTTGTAGTCATTTAAGCATTGTTTAATAATGCCATAAATACAACGCTTGTTTTCTGAAAAATATTCCATTAACGTACGATACGGAGCATTTTTCTTCTTATTTCTATGTCGATATGTTCTGACATATCCCTTAAAGGCAGCTATCTCTTTAAAAGGGTATGCATCGTTTTGTCGCTTTCGCGATCCCGTCTGTCGACTGCTTGGTGCCATCGCAGGAGATTTTATGTGCGTCAAAATATGATTATTTACAGCAAAAATATCGCTGTCCTCATACATGCAATGCGGACATCTATGTGAATTTATATGATTATCGTACGCTTTGTGTTGGGTGAATTCTAAATTACATAACCTGCATACATATAATTTAAAAGGCTTTCTGTGATTCACAACGTGTTTTTCGAACCGCCTTGCTGAGGTGAATTGAAGTCCGCATGGGATGCATCTCGTACAAAATTTCCGTGAATTCATCTATAAAAATTATGACCCAAAATGAGGATAAGAAAGATTAAGTACTGAATAAATCATAAATTCGCAAGGACGCACATTGATATGGGAGAAGTGAAGACGAATATATTCCTCCGCTCATAAAAGAATCCACTCGTTCTCCAGTCTGCTACAGTATTTAATTATTAAATTGTCATTATAAATGTGGTGGTCGTACTCACATAGATTGTTTCATTCCTTCGAGCCACCAGCCGCGAGTAGCAGCAGCAGCAGCAGCAGCGACAATACGACAAAATTCCGAGATTTGCTTCTAAATAATAAGAAAGTTCAATATAATTATTATATCATCATCATCTCAATTTAATTAAGTAAATTATGTCATCAGCTGACATAATTTACGTATGTGTATCATACTTTTGTGAGTTGATCGCTTAAATTATTTACAACAATTTCGCGTGTTGATATCGTGTGTATAATCAAATACCAAATGGAATTTAATAACAATTCAGTTCTCATATTTATACTACTGAAGTGACATCACGACGACTAAAATGTCAAAGATCAAGTACACAGAAAGAAGTATTAAAAATAAATAAAAAATTAATAAAAATTAATAAAAATCTACTAAATACCTCTTGTTACAAAGAAAATAACTCAAACAAAGAAGATAATACGCATAGTCATAACAAAGTAATTAATTAGATCATTCCATTAATAAGCAAGCATTCACGTGTTATCGTATTATTTTATATTCTTGTTTACTGTCGTCATCATGTTCAATTTTGAGATTAAATCACAATATAAAAGACGTCGATCTCCATTTAGTCGTATTAGTCAAAGAAATAATTTCGAGGAGTTAACTTTGAATTGTGAACAAGAAGAAATTTTTCATCATGCCAAAAAGTAAGTTTTTATTTCAGAAATTATATTCAGAAATATTTTGAAGCAAATTGCATCAAAAGTAAAGAAAATAGAAAAAAAATATTTGAATCTACAATTTAATTTCTATTTCAGAAAACGATAATCGCAGAAGCCGCAGCGCCACTCGCAGCACGAGCCGCAGTTCCAGCGATAGTAGTTCGTCACGGTCAAGTCATCGCAGTTCGTCGGCCAGCAGCGATGAGGGTAAAAAGGGTAGGAGCAAGAAAGCTATTTGGTCGGACGACTCGGAATCGGACCGATCCCCGAGAAGAGACCCCAAGAACAAGACCCACAAGAGCAGAAAGGAAGCCGAGAAGAAACATAAGGATAGTGACCGTAAGATTTATCATTCTATTTTACTCATTTATTTTTTATTTTTTAAATTACATAACGCTTACGTAGCCTTCTGCTTTTATTTGCAGGTAGACGAGAAGAAGTTAAGGATGCGGAAAAGAAGCCCATGAAAAAGTCTAACGAAGGACCTGGGCAGGGGTCGGGATCTGGAACCAAGCGAAAAGCTGGTAATTTTATTTATTTATTCTTTTTTAAATATTAACACCTACCTTAACCCATTCGAGAAGTAGATTAATATTTTATATAATTCGATCATTTTCAAAGACTCAATGCAAAACATTAATTTAATTAATTGCTCACTTTCAGGCAACGACGATAAGAAGCCCGCAAAGAGGACTGTGAAGGACCAAGTCAAGTCGGCCGTGAAGGACGCCAAGCGCAAGACATCCAAGAAGGATCCACAACCTCACTTCAGCGGCGGTGGAGCAGGTGAACAGCCAGGTACCATTAAGAAAAACTTCTCGTCCTATGAGGAGAAGAAAGATTCGCAAAATTCAATTTGGTGGGAGGGGTTTCTAGGAGGTGAATACTACCTCCGACTCCAAACATGGCATAACAACTCAAAAACATATTTATCTTTACGCAAAAATCAAAATGTGGGCGCAAATATTCTTGTCGACCACTATTGGTCATTAGTAAAAGCGTTAGAAGAAATGCGCAACGACGTTGGTAGCATGCTCCCGGCAAAACCGGACGCTTAGAGCTTTATTTGATGTTAAGCTCACTAAATCAATTCTGAAAATAAATAAATAAATATCAATACTTCATTAATTAACTAAAATTGTTGTTTATTAATTTCTTACACAGTTGACGGACTTATCTTTGTTCGTCGTCATAGACGGGCAATGTTCCTGAGGAAGGCTACGCCTGGATCAGCAGCATATGATCTATTTTCTCAAAACTCTGGCGAAATCAGTGGTGGCGGTGTCGGTGTGGTGGAGACGGGGATCCAGGTTATACTGCCCCTCAACCACTTTGGTTTGATTAAAGGGAGGTCAGGATTGGCCGCAGCAACAATGATATCTACAGCAGGTTTGTTATTATATTATTGTTACAAATTGAATAGTTAGAAATTTATAAAATTTATTTAAGGTGGCATAATCGACCATGATTATACTGGGACGATGAAGATTATCTTGCACAACAACTCGAGCGAGAACTTCGCTTACAAAGCGGCGTCACGCCTCGGGCAGCTTGCAGTAATTCCAATGTACAATGGACCGGTACGATACGTCGAAGGAACCAAGAAAAACGAGGAACACGGCGTTCAAAGAAGTGAGTTCTTATCCCGCGAGCCGCGCGGTGATAAAGGATTCGGCTCAACTGGACAATAATCCATTTTTGGGATTGAATTTTATTTCACTTATATATTATTTCTCACAATTAGTAATTAGAACTGTTCTTCACTTCATTAATTATCCAATAAATTTATTATAATTGTCCGGTTGGTTTTTGGTGATTTTCACGCTTGTCAGTGTCAATACTCACAACTTAACAACTCATAACGTAAACGGTCATTTTTAAAAATATTTGAGCATTTACAATGAAACACAATTACTTTAGTAATTAATGATCAGGAATTCCACCAGCTTAATTAATTCCAAATTGGAATACTTAAATGTGCTTATGATAAACTTTTAACCGTCCGATCGACTTGTTACTTTTCCTAGTAAGTGTACATTTTATACATTACATTGAGTAACTAATCTACATATGCATAAAACCAGTTCGTGTTCACTCGGCCTTCATAAGTGACAACTCATTTAAACATTTTTGTACTTGACAAACACCACATATGAACATTTTGGTATTTTATACCAAAAAATGCATGGAAGCGTTTTTGAGAAACATGCTTTTGTTATAATTTGGCCTAGCAATGGTCAAATTATAACAACAAATGGAAATCGGTTTTCAATTTTCTTTCAAAAGCAGGGAAATGCAGAAGTCTCTAAACACAATGCTAAAATTGCTCAATGACGATATTTTATAGTTTGGGGTCCATACATAAGTAATATCCGCTAAAAGTAAAGATAGGTACTTCAGTTTAAGCAAGAATTTCGGCAAACCATGTTCACCACGTTTTGCTTAAGTTTTTTTTAACTCCAACCAATAATGTTTATTTCGTTTAATTATGTAAATAATCCGTGATACATCAGTTTCAAATCAACTTAAAATAAAAAATATGTTAATTTCCATAAAAACTTACATAACGTCGTACTAATTCATAAAAGACCTAAGTGCACCCGGTGCTTAATTCAGGAAAGACCTAAGTGCACCCGGTGATTAATTCAGGAAAGAAAGTTTACAAAAAAGGTAAAAAAACCTATGCACAAGTATGTTTTTACTTATGGCTAAATCGCGCGATATATGAAGAATCATTTTGGCAAGATATAGCCATAAGTAAATACATGATTGCACATAGGTCGTTTTTTACTTTTTTTTCTATACAGTTAGGTCTTTTCTGAATTAATCATCCACTACACTTAGGTCTTTTATGAATTAGTACGACGATACATAATCTGATACATAAACAGTGCATAGCACTTTATTCCTTTGGACAAAGGATCTTAACCGCATGGACAAAACCATTCTTACAAAAATATCCAATCCTAAAAAAACATTGGAGTCGCTTCACACTCAAGGAATGAGCTACTGCCACACCCTCATAGAACTGGCAAGGACCCCACCCCGAGTACAAGATGGACCATGGATTCCCCTCCAGATGTAGGGTGCTAATATACTCTTTAATCTCCTGGATTCCCACGTCCGGAAGAAATCTCTCTCGGACGATCCCCGTCAGAAACATGTCCTCCATATGAAAAAGCCTGGTTGACAGGGCGCCCTTGTACAACTCTTGTCGAACCCTTTTTCCCAAAATGTAAAAAACTCCGCAGGCATACGTGGGATAACCCGTCCCAGTTTCCCAGACGATCGGTGGCGTATAAAATTTTGAGGTTGGGTCCGCCACTGGATAAGCGGAGGAAAAGGGGGAACCCGCAATCAGATTGGGAGCATCTTTATTCCGGAGAAAGCCGAAAATTAGGTCCCAATTGATGTAAACGTCGTCATCCAACTTGGCCAGGAGGGGGACGGAGGGATATCGGAGGTTAACCCATTTCAACATGCGGCAAGATTTTAAGGTTAGATTGAGATAAGTTTCGTGAAAATCGTCGATGACAAGGTCTCGGTGTTGGGATCCTTCTTGAAATAACTTGTCCTGAGGAGATTTGTATGTAAAATTAAATAGAAATTGAATTAAGGTCAACTTACGATACGATGGTGTCAAGTGTAACGCTCCGATTTGGTTTAAATTTTGAAAATATGTGGTCCAAGTCAATACAACAAACTTTTCTTCACGCAGTTTGTGCGATGGGTGAAATTTGGCAAAGTATTTAAGGCCAACTTTTGAAAAAAATTACAATTTTTATCAGGCAGAGGAAGTAAACTCCACTCGCATTAACATCAATTGGAAAATTGCCCATTTTTAAAGTTTGACCTTAAATATTTTGCCTAATTCCACCCATCGCACAAACTGCGTGAAGAAAAGTTTGTTGTATTGACTTGGACCACATATTTTCAAAATTTAAACCAAATCCTAGGGTTACACCTGACACCATCGCATTGTTAAATAGTTACTTCATAAACAAAATTCAGAAAGAGTTCAATCAAACCCACCATTGAAGTTTCATCCTCGTTTGAGCCCCCAAGGAAAAATAAAAACTTTATAGTTATATTCCAATTTTTTGCCATGTTTTCCCATGTTTGGAACTGATTTCTTAATAAAGATCTACGTTTCTGATTTGCAGGTGAAGTGATAACCATTACCAACATGTATGGTGGTGGCGTACCCTTACATAGTAAAATTAAATTGTAAATATTTTATTTTAATTAAGAAATATACCAATAAAAAATCCATATAAGGACTTTTTCCTATTGAAAGTGTCTGCTCAAACCTTTCCATAAATTTTCTGAGACATGTCTGAGCCTTGAAAAATATTATTTTGTATTAGAAATTTCAATTAATCTGAAGAATCATGAAACCGAATTGGTTCCAAAATATTTAAGAATAACAAATCCAAAGGTAGAAAATTGGAGTTGCCAATGGTGTAAAAATTAATATTTCCGACATCGGAAATATAAGTGTATTTTTTCACCTTTGAAGAAATTCACTCAAACCCAGACAAAATTTCGATTTTTCGAGCTTACATCGCTAAAAATTCTCCACGAATGCAGCGCGAAATGTCCGCCGAATCAGTAGCAGAGAATTCGGTCTTCTCTACGTCCCATCCATCGATTTCGATGTACCCATCGATTCGTCGGACATTTAGAGTGGATAATTTTCAGCCTTTTTAGGTCGACAAATCTAAATGTTATCTATGAAATTAATTAATTTTGCAATAGACAAACCGGTTGAAAATTTTTCAAACCCTTGCAAAAGATACATATGAATGAATTAAGAAAATGTTACAGTGAGAACCATGGCAAATCCTATTTTGTACTTGCGCACGATTTTTGGTTCTCATTTCGCAACAAATTAATATAATTCGATTCCTTGTGCTGGTTCGTAGCCTTAAATTTTCAATTAAACATCATATTTTTCATTGATCAGACATGTCTCAGAAAATTAATAAGGAGTTCCAACTTTGTAAAAAATCGCTTTTTTCTCAATTTCGCATGCGATTTCGAAATTTTTTCCAATATTTTTGCTTAAAAATAAAATCAAGGTTACGATAATTTTATTTTTGGACAAAAACAGTAAACAAAGAACAAAATCGCATCGGAATTGAGAAAAAAGTGTTTTGAAAAAAGAGCAAAAAAATAATTTTTCACAAAGTTGGAAGTCCTTACTGTAAATGTTCGAGTGCATAGGGGACACTGAGTAGTGTCATATCCTTAATAATTTGGACAAATACCCGGGTCGAATTTAGAGGTTCCATCATAATTGTATCTTCATCTGGGAGTATCCATGATTTACCCAGGGTATTTGTAATTTTCACGATTTCCTGTGTTCTACCCTCATTTTCCCCGTCTCCAGGAAATGCCTTAAAAAGGAGATAAACCGAGACAAACGTAATGGTCAAAACAATAAATAATTTTCTATTGTGCATGATAATAATTAATTTTATTTCTTATTTCCGAAGAGAACACGATTGAATTGGAGAAGTCCTCGTTCGTGTGTAAAGTGAGACAAGTTGGGAAACGAGTATGTTTAATTAGTTGACTAAAAATAAATACTAATTGCCTCATTACCCTAATTGCTTTCGTTAAGTTTCCATTTCCTTTAGAGTCAAACTGCTAAATTTTCATAAACGAAGGATGCACCGTTGGCTAATTAAAGTAATCAAGAAACAATTACTGCGAGTAAGTGTTTCTTGATTAGTTTAATTCTCTACATTAGTTCTATTCAGAAGTGTTCCCTGCACCTTTTTAAATTCTTGAATATTTTTTTTTGAATCCTCCCGCCAAGACCTCTTCTAACGATACCCCACTTATGGGGTTATGTGAGACTTCATTCAAAATTTTTGACAAATATGAAAACACAATCCATTCAGATCAGTTTGTACCAAATATGAAGAAAATCTATTCAGGATTGAAGAAATGAGAGCTATTCCTAGAATAGTGATGAATGAGTAAACTTTGTAAGTTGACCTCGTATAATTTTACTCGACGTTCTGAGACATAACCTACATTACAATTTTGAGAAAATTATTGTTACCAGTGTATTTATTCATAAAATTATAACCTATGAGACTTTATAAATCTTTGTGTCCTTCTAAATATACTGCTTTAATTTTTAATCGTAATTTTAATTAATCTTAATCATTATACTAAAATCGGTAGTAATTTTTTTGCATTCCTTTAGGATCATCTGGGAAACTGGTTTACTGACAGGATAAATGAGTTCTTGGGTCTTAATCGACTTCCGGTAGCGCTGGACGTGAGGAATCCTGGGGATTAGTAGTTTACAGCTCTGTCAAAATTAAATAATGCATTGCGATTATTGAATTAATTTAAGTTAATTTTATAAATTTTCGAAAAAAGTGGAAAATAATATGATAAATAACTTACCATTTTGCATAATTGTATCTGAGCAGAATAGTAAATAAAGTTTCGAAAAGCTGGAGGAATTGGAGCAGGGTTGCAGAAATCTCACCTCACCTTCATAAATCTCATCTCACTGAGATATAATGAGAAATAGTGAGATATGAGAAATATGAGATATAGTGAGATTTGTGAGTCATGCACTCGCGCCACCTAGCGGACGGGGTCATGAACTACAGGTTTATCTCATTATTTCTCATATTTCTCACTCAGCCCCAACTGAGATGATTGATATAAATCATTAAATCTCATTAAATCTCACTAGGTGATATATACCACTTGCAACCCTGAATTGGAGGCTAATTTTCGTAAAACGTGGTTTTCGCCTACATATAGCAGTAGCCACGATTGTACTTATAATTTGCCCTTAAAAGTTTAGTATTAAATCTAACGCCCAACGGTATCAACAATACTGGTATTCGACTGAAGCGACGCAGACTTTTGACAACATTTACGCCCATATGCAAGATAAAAATAACGAACGCGTCTTATAAATGGGCAGATCCTCGATCTACATTCTATGATAAAGACAAAAATTGCCACACAAATCTAATTATTATATGTCAGCCTTATGCGATTAATTAAATTTCAGTAGGAGTACATAAATACAAAATCGAGCAAGTGACAAACATTTCTTGCAATACAGATCCCGGCGATGGGTAGCGATATAATAGTATAGTTCTGTGGCACGCACCTGCTATTTATGTTTTGTCCACCACAGGATTTCTTTTTACATAAAGTTAGTGGCTAATGGATTGGAAAACTTTAAAAGTTAATTTATTTAAGTAAATCTTCTGTCCATTAGAAATATCTATAGTACTTCGCGTATGTGAAAAATGAAATCAATATTTACTATTTCAAGGTGATGTGTGTTACAGTTCTCTGTTCAATTCTCTAAAGTTACCAATGCTCAAAGTACAAAACGTAGCAAACTTGTTCTGTATTTTTAATCAAATTTACTTACTTTAAAGGACTTTTTGCCTTAATAATTCGATGAAAACTAGAATTTAACTTTTTACAGGCTGCAAGAAGTAATTAGGTTGCCAAGATCGTGTCAAAAGGACACATATTAAAACCTATATAGTCAGAGCTACCCGAAGTCATTTTAAGCTCCACGTGAAATATATGTACAATGGGTTTGAAGGAAGCAAAAGCTGAGACTGGTAAATCAGAGCAGAGGTCAACGCCGCCGATCTCACGCCGCCGCGCCGCCATACGCCGATAGAATTTTACGCGCCGCCGCCGCCGATAAATCTATTTCCCTATCCCTTCACCATTGAGGCGACGCGCCGCGCCGCCGCGACGCGCCGCGCCGCGCCGAAAAATCCCCAAAATTGGCGCCGCCGCCGCCGCCAAATTGGTCGGCGTTGACCTCTGAATCAGAGTTCAGTAGTTCTGGTCTTCGATACGCATGGTTGATCTGCTCGTAGCGTCTACATTCCATAATTTCAGTCATGCGCAGTTTGTCTATCAGCTAAAACAGAAATAGTCCTGTTTACTGTTTCCTAGAGTTTATTCAAGTGTCACGAACCATCAGTTATACAAACTACATATACTCTCTAACGTTTTGTAGAAAGGGTCTAATACTGATTGACCCAAAGAGGGCCAAAGTCAAAAATGAAATTCCTATTGTACTTTTTCGTTTACATATTAGACAATAGCTTAAGCCAGTCAAACGTCCTACATTGTAATTTTTATCAAAAGTGGACTGACAATGATCCCGCTGCAACAGAACTGTTCAATTTCCACACCACCGACTTTCCCATGTTATTCACCTGGACAACAATTAATAGTTTAACGCCTTTCAAAAATATTTCCGAGCAAGAGTTCTGGCCTGTATTAGGCTGACTTTAACTTGTGGGAAGTCAACATCCCCGATTGCAACTTCGTTTGTTTCCGTAGACACGACAAGTGGATGCCCCATTGTTCTCCTAATGCCTTCTTTTATAATCAGATATACAATGACGCAACAAATCATAACTACAATAAACCAAAAGGCCCTGAAAGAAAGGAAGAAAGTCGTAAATACAAAGACACATTGGCTTCCACGTCAATTAAAAATTTAATGATCAAGTTCACAATTGAACTTCACGATTCTTATTTCTTATTCTGACTTTGCCATCCGTCTCTACAGAAGTGGAAACATAACTATTCAGTAAAATAGGTATTTTCGAAAGGAACAATACCAGGTAATTTTACCAAATATTTTATACATTTTCATGCACAGAGCATGAAGTGCATATTTATGATCATAATACTATTTATTCATAATACTATTTACTTTTGCAAAACCACAGGCTCTTAGGCAGGATGATAAGCCTTTCAACCTTCGTCATCGTTTTTACCATCATGCAAGCATCCTTGCAGCAAATCCAGAAGACACGATTAAAGCCCTGAAGACGCAGGACAGAGTTCGAGATAAAGAATCTGTAGGGGAATGCATGTGTCCGCCCCACGTTAACACTACCGAAACCTGGTTCGAGTACTGTGGCCATGAGCTAACCCAACCTACGAAATTTACCGCGGAAACGGCGTATCGATGCGTTAACGGAAGAAAAATCGCAATTGAGACCACCAACCGTTGTGCTGAAGAAGGAAAGAAATTCGTGCAAAAAACTCAGTACCCAAACGGGGACCACTGCGAATGTGTCGAATTCATAAGTACAAAACATGTCAATAGTAACCATTTTTTAATAAATTTCATTTGGTTAATAAAATTGTTTCACCGTTGCCACCGTTGAAGTAGCTTGCCAAGTAATAATATTTAGTTTTGATCAAAGTTGGCAGCAAGGGTACAGAGTGGGCAGATGGAATGGTCAAAATTTTGGCAGAATTTTGAGTCCAAACTGTAAAATTATTTCTTCAAATTACTCTGCTATTTTGGCGCGTTTTGCGTAATCCTTTAAATTGTCTGGCACCAGTTTGCCTGACCGTATTTGTTGTTTTGTTTTATTAAACCGTGGATCAATTCAAGCAAAATACCCATTAACATACTGTAAAACGGACCAACAACAAATTTGTCAAGAACAATTAAATTGCTTCCATCCCACCTGGTACCAATAGCGAGCTAAGAAAGTCAATGATGTCGCTTACAAATGTTTGAATTTAGCAAGCACAAAACATAAAAAACCAAGAGTGTTCCAGCAACCTCGGCCGACCTTCTGTATTCAGATTTGTATAGATAGAACTTTCTAGATTTCTATAGATAGATAAAATTTACACATCTGACCTGTTTTCGACGTTAGTGTCTCAGATGTGTCAAATTTAACAGTTGATAACCCATATATGACCGTTCGTGACCTCTGTGGTCAAAAATTGAAATCAGCGTCAAATTTCCTGTTGGATTGACATAAATATCCTCTATGACCTTTGGATGACCTCTGAGGTCAAAATGGAGGTCCCCATTGAATTCGACGTTGCGAAGGAATTGTTTTGACGTTGCTAAGAAATGAGTTTAATGTTGCTAAGGAATTTTATATCTTGCTAAAGAATTTTTTACCATTGACACCGAATCACTTAAACTTTCCTTAAATAACCTTAATAATTAATAATTAATATACTAATTTAATTCCTTAACTTAAATAGTATTACAAATTTTATTCTCAACTCGTTATTCATCATCCCACCGTGGATTAATCGCGATCCACCCACTCGGGTAATAAATGTGATTGTACATCCACCTATAAAACATGTGTCTCTCTACGTTTTCCTCTTTGGGGTATAACCAATCCACAAAGGCAGGTCTTAATTTGGCCGCATAGACAAATTTCCCCTCATATCTGGCCAAATACGCCGCCCACCAGGCGAAAGAACTATTGGGAATTATAAAATTCTTACACTTCGTTAAAAGATAAAACTCATCCAAACCGGACAAACGGTTGGGATCGGACACAACGTAAATCTCGTTATGTTCCAAGACGGGCCCCGCCCTGGGAAGAAATTGGTTCCGAATAAAATTCAAGTCGTCCGAAAAAACGAAAAATGTAACGGGAACGTTTCCAAGTTTCCACAAAATATTTGAAATCGCCGAGACATAAAAGGACATCGGAATTGTTGCATTTATCCGGACAAAGTCGCCTCGGCG